GACGTAACTTTCTCAAGGTCGAAAACGCAATGGCTTTATAAATGCGGTCAATGGCTATAAATTGCAATAGAAAGTGTACTTTTACGTAGTCTGAGAAGTAAACAGCTGATAATAATGAGAAGAGAGTAATTATTCCAAACAATATTCTGTATAGCTCGAAAATATTTTTTCTAGAACAGAAAGAGAAGTTAAGGGTTGCTGGAATTTAAGGACTAAGTGTGAGTCAGCTTTTTAAGCGGGTCTGAATGGGGGGTCCACTTGCCGATTGTCGGTTAAAATTCAGGTACTTTGTCGGTAGTCGGTTAAAATTTTCGATCTTTGTCGGTAGTCGGTTAAACTTTTTGATTTTTGTCGGTTGTCGGAAAATCTCTGTTTATAAGTAAAAACGGTTGTTAATTATTAAGATTTTTATGTATTTCACCCAGTTTCAAGACTTTGATCCGTAAGGAAAGAGTAAAACTTGTAAGAATGCATCATTTGATTGCACTTAAACTTCATTAACTCTTGTTTGTTTATGGAACATGATCATTTATTTCACCATTGTTTGCCAAATGATATCATGAGTACTGATAAGAACTGCAAGGGGTGACAGGATGCACATCTATACCTTTAATGTTTTGGCTCTAACAAGCATGTCCTTTGCTATAATTTTCAAGAAATAACACTTTAACCCTCGGACGTACAAGGGGTGGAGGGGGGTGGATGCCACCCCCACCCCCCTTTAGGTTTTTCTGGGATTTTTCCAAGAGGATAAAACATCAGCACCTGACGTTTTCAGTAGATGTTCGTTTTTCCCTCGCACGCATTTTGAGACAAGTTCAGTGATGATCAGTTTCTATGGTTACGAGGTATGACGTAATAAGTAGCAGGTGGTCAAGCCATTTTGAGTGAAAATGTATGTTTTTTTTCAACTTTTTCAACAATAAAAGAAAAAATGTTGTAGCTAAAATCATGCAAAGTGCTTATCTACGTGTTATTATTCATGTCAAGCAATTACCATTTCTCGTTGTTTTAACCTGATTTCTCATTCTTTGTAATATCCAAGATGGCGGCAAAGATGGTGACCATTGTTGGTGACATAATAAGCCTCCAGCAGCGCCACCATTCATAAAATATATCTCATCTTGTTAAGAAGATCAAAGGCTTTTCAGTGAAGGCAAAATCGCTTCGAAATACCACAAGTTGGCAAGGTAGTGCTTGGTTTTGTATGAGATTACACTTTTTCATTAAAGCTTCATTTATTGTGTCACGAAAGGCAATATTTCTTTTTCTTCCTTGTTTTTTTTTTTTTTTTTCAGGAGCGCTGCTTTCCTTCTGTCAGTTTTACTTCTAATAGCAATTTTTCTTTCAAAATTGTGTGGCCAGCCTCTGTCCATGCATCAACCGCTTTTTGAAATCTGAAATACTTCCTCAGAGGAGTTCGTAGGATTCTCAAGGCTTCTTGTTTGTCAAATCCATTTTAACAATTGGTGGGACGTAAGAGGTGAAAATGTATATACTGGAAGGTTTCCGTTTAAAATGCGTCTTTACGTCAATGATAGCTTTTTCTTATTTTTCGTTGAATGTTGTGCCTTTGTATACAACCGGGTCGAAAAAGCTTGTTTCGGTGTCAGATATTTCGGCCGTAAAATTTTATAGCCAGTAGAGCAGTAGGGTGAAGTAAGTTTACGTGTTCCTAGAATTTGAAGAAATCTACCATGTCTGGTTTACTTATGTCCCATAGGGAAAAATATCATCTCTGTAGTATTTTCAAACAGTTGGTTTAAAGACGGGTTTGCTTAAACTTTCTGTTTCAATATATGCGGCCATGAAAATGTTGGAAAGGTAACTGCTATATGTGCTCATCGCGGTACCGTGGTTTTTTTTTACTGATAGTGCTTTCCATTAAACTGGAAAGAATTTTCTTTGAGGATTAATCTAAGCATTTCTCGGACAGAAACAAGAAACTTACAGTTTTATCACCTTTGTCGTTTTAATAAAATTTATACAGTCGTCTGTGATTATGATATTAGTTGTAGTAATGTACCCGTATAAACAAAAGAAGAAGTTCTTTCTGTTAGACCATCTGATGAGTCATAAATTTAAAGAGATAACTTCCTAACGGCTAGAAAAAATGAAAAATGCTCTTTTTTCTGAAACAAATATTGATTATGTCAGCCCATGTCGGTAGTCGATTAAAATTTTTCCTGTCGGTAGTCGGTATTTTTTTACTCGTTTTGTCGGTACTCAGTAATATTTTTCGCCCTTTGTCGCTAGTCGGTTAACCCCATTCACACCCTCTTTTAAAACAAAAAGGAAAAACCATTGAATTTATATGAGGCGCAAAGCATCTAAAAGGATCAAACCATTGTTTCCGTTTTTGGCTCCGCAAAAAATAGAATAAAATAAAAATAAAAACGACAACAACAACAAATAACTACAAATCGATACAAATATGATGGATAATATAAGAGCAATTCTTGCTGCTTGAACTTGGGATACCTGTGCCTTCCCGTGAGAAGTCTGGAACTAGTTTACATCTGAACTGGCGGGAAGCTCAAGATGGCGGCTGGTGGTTGAAGAATGAAACCATTTATTCAGCTGACTTATGCCGAGAAATGTCCTAAACAGTCCTTACAGCCAGCAAAAACATCATTTATCGATAAAGGCTGTGTTACCAAGCATTTTTGGCTGGATTTATTGGAAAAGAAATGTCTTGGAGGTTCGTATCTTTGTTTTATATGTCGAACTTGCTCCACACGAAAGTTTTCTACACTGCTGGAAGAGATTTAGGGCCACCGTTTCTGCCTGTCTTAATGGTGTTCTCTGTCTAAGGGATCTCCGAAAGCTGCAAAACTACCTTTTTAAACTGTGTCGACAGGTCCTTATAAACTGACAGCTATGTTTAATATGCAAATGCTAAAACTTGTCATCCTGCATCCCTCGCCACTGGTTTTAAAAAAACTAAATCGACAATCGAACAGAATTTTGAACCATGAGCTTCCGTGAGACGGGTTTTATTTTAGCTAATTGTGGTTGCGTTTGTGTACATTGTGATAGATGTATATCTTGCTGTTGTATCCAGGTAAAAGAAAGGAAATATTTCGTAGTAGAAATTAATGTAGACTCCATTATTATTGCATCATTCTTCAAATATTATTCTCAATATAATGAGAACAAGATTGTTCTTGTTAAGATAGTTCTCAGATGCTTAGATAATTTTGAAATTCATGCTTTATTTGCAAATTTACCCTTATTGTCAACATGTTATAGCATGAGAATTATTTTTTGTTCCCCTGAAAAATTTTTCATTTGAAATGGTATATTCCATGAAAATAAGTGACCTACATGTACACTGGACCCCTATAGAGCTTCAAAAGTTTACATTTCAATAATTCTTTCAAGTCTATGATTTCATTTATCACCAGTTAAGAATTCACTCTGCTAAAGAAAATGACAATTTTTTTACTCTACCCTACAGTAGTTTCATGTAATAATATCAAGCATGTGACGTAGTGTTTCATCAACAGATAAAACACTCAGAAGAGAGTTGAAAATAGGATGCGCAGCAGATTATTTTTGACGAACTTCGAGGTGTTTCATCTGGTGATGAAACAGTGTGTCGAATACTTGATATTGCTCCACAAATAAAATGATTTTAGATGGAGAAATTAAGGATTCAAAAATAAGCTCTTTTTCATCTGATTTTCTAACACTCATTGAACATTAATTTCCTTTGTATTGTCTTTATCACTTATTAACGAGTTTGAGAAGCTTTTATCACTGAATTGCAAAGAATTCTATGTGAACATGTAATTGCCCCAGGTGAACCTGGGGTTATTTAATGCAATATATGTAGCTGTACATTAATTGTTTCCAGAACATTAATACTAGCACCTCCAATTTCCCCATTAACCATCTACTACCCCTGGGAGAACAGATCACATTTAAGTAGAGGCTGTTTGACCTACAAGTATTCTTAAAAGTGCCAAAGTTAGATTTTAGAATGTCTGGCAACTACAATGACATTCTCGGCATTTACTTTGAACCTCATAGAAAGATAGTGTAAGATCAACTTCCCACGATCGTTGGTTTTTTCATCTACACTGTAGGGGTATAATTTAATATTGTGTACTGTAAGAACGGAAACAAAGATTGACTGTTTGATAAATCAACCAAAGACGTAGAAAACTGCATTATAGGATAGAACTGTGTTCTTTAATCAAAGCTGAAGTCTGAAGCATTATTTTTGGTAAAAAGTTTTGTTATATGCTTCCTATTTGTGCACAGAAGTTCTCACATCGGTTTTTTTCTTTTTTGTGAACATGACTTATTCAGAGTTTTTTAACCCTCTACTGAGACAAGACACCTGTCTCTGGGAACAAGGCTGTGGTCTCTCATGAGGGTGGTACGTACAGGTCAAAATTTAATTCAGGTTGAAATTTTTTAACCTACAGTCGGCGACAAAATAGTTGAGACAATTCAATTAGGGTACAGAGAGTAACTACAGAGAGCAAAAGAATCCACACCCCTCCCCCTCCCCTTCATTCAAAGTTGTGGTGTTTGTTGTTTTCTATAGGTAGCTTGGGAAGAAAAGCTTTATTTTCCTCTCTGGAAGTCAGTAAAGAGTCAGAAAGCTCTTTTAGGGCAGTGTCTTGACTAATTTTGTGGCCAATTGTACAGCTGTAGGTTGGTTCTCAATTCCCTTTGTCTGTTAGCCCTAATTACACTATTCTCTTGAATTAGGGCTAGAAGACAAACGAAATTGTGAATCAAACCAGATTAAAAACAAAAAATCAATAATAACCTGAATTTAATTTTGACCTTAGTGGTAGGTTATCATGCCATGTGCCAAGTGGTAGCTTGGGATGGGCGATATTCATGGGTTGCTCCAAAAAGTGGAGAAATGATTCCTTCCAACTTCAACTGGGAAAACTCTTTTACTATATACATGTAGGTGGTGTACTGTTTGAGAAATGGTTGCTCATGAGGATCAAACTGTATTCATTTGTTAATACTTTCTTTCAGGGCTTGGTGAGATCAGTGAAAGTTTATTGAGTGATCAGAATCTGACGCCAGCAGACTTTCTTGATGAACCATTAGAGACACTGAAATCTTCACAAGAGGATTGCGATGTCTATTGTGCAAGCCCCAGTCCTGTCAAATGTAACGAGTTCAAGACTCCTCTGACATCCAGATATAGCAACAAGGCTTCAGTGACTCCTTCTTTGTTCTCTCAAGATGAATCTGTTCATCTTACCCCAGTCTTAAGTGAGTGCCTTGTTCAAAGCTTCTTATGCACAATGTAAAGTGTATTAATTAATGCAAAATTGAAATTAACAGATGTGTGTTATTATTGATTATGGAGGTTATGCTCTTCTGGCCTGTTTGGGTGACCAGTGAAAATCCATGTTTTACCTCATCTGTCTTGTTGTCTTTGAATCATAACATGAATTATTAATTTACATTCTACTCCTTCACTTTTAAATTTTTGAGGGAAAACTGGCAATTTGTAAATGTGACAAAATAAATGCTTTGGAATGTTAAAAAAGATGTAGATGTGTAGTACATGTCATACATACATGTCTTGCGCTGGGAACGTGCATAACGTAAGCAGAAGGAGAACCTCGATGGTGGAGGTTAAACTTTTCCTTACTCACTTTGATTTTCATTTAAACGCTTTTTATATCACATTGTGTCCTAAACGAGCTATCTCGATGTAAATTCTGTAAAAACGGATTTTTTAATACTTTCTTTCCCATTTCACATATATGCCATTTTGAAATTCGCCCCAGTCCTGTCTCAAAAATGGGAGGAAATGCGTTTGGTGTGCACTTTCTGCAGCTCTACCGCGAAAACGAGTACGGTGACCCCAATTTTTTATTCCATAATATTATTAAATAAGGACAGTTCTTCCTTTCGATGAGAAAAAAATTGTCACAAATCTATGTTCAGTTTTTGGCAATTTTACTAAATTGTACGGATTGAGCTATCACGGCTCGAATAGCACGCATCCACTTTAATTCTACTTTGGAGTGTAAAGTAAAAAAAAGGGCATTAAAAGGCATTTTTCTGGAACGTAAGCGGATAAGCAATACATTAAAGTCAAATTCTGTGCATTACCACATGCATCATCGAAAAAACCTCTCCTTTTTGTCTAGCTTTGGGCTGCGCGCGAAACTAGACAAAGGGTCCTGAAAAGCCGTATTTGTCAGCATTGTGACATGAAAATGAGCATAGTGACCCCCACTTTTTATTACTTTGTTATCATCTTCTTGACTTGTTCAGGGTTCTCAATACAAGGCGGCACCCGGCGATTGATCGCTGCATACTTTGGGATTTATAGCCGCTTACTTTGTGTTTAAGTCGCTTTTCTTTGCTTTGTTTTGACACCTCTGGCTTTGCTGAAGAGCCTCCTACTTTATCAGTGATCACCTCCTACTTACAAATCTACTGAGAACCCTGCTTGTTACATCAGTGTACCAAGTTTGATTTACAATCTGTGTTAGGTTCTTTGACTAAGGAATCACCTTACAATTATTAGGTCAAACAATGGTTTAAACTGTACATAATGTATTCGTTTTGTTTTTTTGAAAGGCTTAAAGTGTAATATAAGAACACGTTCACAACTTACGTGTGATGATGACACAGAGTTGGTTCATGGAAGTCCTGCAAGCCCTCTTGACACTCTTTCTAGACACTCCAGTGGTTGTGACTGGTCTAAAGGAAGAACAAAGACCCCTGACTTGTTAGCAGAAATAATGGTAAAATGATTATGGTTTTTGCTCAGTCATGGACTATGAGTGACGCCATATGAGCAGGGATTTCATTAAGAAGCGGGGGCCAGGGATTTTCCTGGGCTACTATGAATGTGCCCGCCAGCCTCTTTCATAGGAAAATAGAGGAAAGATAGCACTAAAAGAAATCCCTAGCTGTTTTTGTTGTATTTACATGGCAACTTAAGACAAAATCCATTAGGAAATTGAGTAATTTTAATTTTCAGAGGACAAAAACCTTGTACCAGAATAATTTAAAGAATATTGCTTTCTTTTTTAGACTTTTCAAGGGCTATAGATATGATGAGTTATCTGTAATAACACCAAAGACAGTTTCTTATGGGAGCCCAAGAAAATAAATGTCAAACTTCACAAGAATTGTGAAAACACAGGTAAAATTCTGAAAATTTCATGTATAAGATAAATGATTTGACATTTATTTTCTTGAGCTCCAATAAGAATTTTCTTTGGTGTTATTACAGATTACTAAGTACATCTATAGCCCTTGAAAAATATTTAAAAAAATGCAATATGCTATAAATTATTTTGGTACAAGATTTTTTTCTACTGAAAGTTAAAATTACTCAATTTCCTGGTGGATTCCGTCTTAAAATCTTAGTGACATTCCTGTATGAGTCACTAGGAGGCAGTGTGGCCGAGTAGTTAGAGCATTGGACTTGCAATTCAGAGGCCCTGAGTTCAAGTCCTGCTCTGACCATTAGCTGGATTTGTTCACAGTAGTCTTGAGTTCAAATCCTCCGCCATGTTTGTAAATAGTCAGCTGGTTTGCCTCCGGCGAGGTGGAATTCTTTAACCTGTTAGCTTAATTGAAATTATTAAATTTGTTTCAGGCATTTTCACGCCCCACTAGCATTAGTGCTATAAATTCTGCTGTGGTAAACAAAGGACATTATTTTTTTATTTTATTATTTTATGTTCAGTAATACCCTGTGTAGAACAACTTCTTTTTGTTAACCGAAAAAGGTTCTAATGATAATTATTAGAACCTTTTAAGTTATAAAGCTACAATATCATTATATTATTATTGATTATAATTGACAGTGCAGGCGATTCAAGCTTTTAGTCCTATAGTCTCTCTACTTTGCCCCCCTTCCTTTGAAATATCCAAATTTATTTAGTGTTTCCTCTCTAAAAAGCAGATTCCCTAAATTGCCACAATTTGATTTGTTACACTTAACAGTGACTAGTGTGTAAACAACAAACCTTGTACTGAATTTATTAACGTTAACTTGCAGATTGCTAACTCTGTACATGTAAGCGAAATAGGACACCTCTAAAGCAGATTATCAAAAACGTCTCGGTTTCTAATAGGCACATGCCTAGTAACTTTTTACTGATAATCTTCCTTTTTATTTCCTCGCCACCTCTTATTGCCTTGATTCTTTTTGTAAAAATAATATTCGATTTTCCTTCATGACCAAATGGTGCGCCACGGATGGATATTCGGTTTCCGTGTTTTGCCTTATAGCACCTCAATACACTGTACGTTTCTTTTGTCGGAATTACAGTGCAAATGTATTAAGCTGTATGTTTTACTATAACTAAAATCCTTATTGGTTTCTAAGAGTTTAATGACAATAATCGAGCAACTCTTTGTGGGCTGATTGGTCGAGAGCTACGGTGTACGAGAGTATACGTGTATACATGTAGACCACGGAAATGACACAACGGAATCCCCTTGTTTATCTCTGCCTCCCGCCTGTGATTTTCCAAGAAACTTCGCCAGAAATGGACGTTAAAAACTGTCAATGTAGTGTTATAATACAAAAAACAAATCGACAGTAATTTTTTAAGGTCTACATAGACCATAGAAATGCCATCAAACTGTTGAAAATTCATTTGGAACCGCCAACCGCAGGCGAGTGTTTTTACTACAATAATAGACAATAAAAAATTGTTATTTATGGGTGAGGATCATTCCCTTAAGTGACCAACAGCAGTTTCTCCCAATACATAACGCAGAGAAACGGTTGCTAGAATTAACAGGATGATAACTTAAGGGAAAATTCCCAGGCCCGGGTTGTTCAAACGTTGGATAGCGCTATCCACCGGATAAATTACATGTACTATCCAGCGGATAAGTATTGGGGAAACCAATTGCTCTATCCACTGGATAGATACTTATTCGGTGGATAGCGCTGTCCAGCCTCTGAACATCCGAGGCCTGACCTTTTATCAAATTCTCTCCACAATTTCCTAAAAGAATCCTCAAAGGGATGAGCGCGACCAGCTCCAGTTATGAAGACGTCTGTTATTGAAGGAAAATTGAAAGTTGAGTGACGGCGGTGTTGCCCCAGACAGAACAATAATATCGTCTCTAAACTTTTTTTTTCAAATTGTATGATAGAATCACTTGTAAACGCCAAAAAACAAAACAAACAAACAAACAAATAAACAGCAACAAACACAGTAACGAAAACACAAAACTTGTCATTTTCAACACGCGCACGCTTGTCAGGATGCGTGTTTTTTTTTTTCCAAAAGTGCGAGTATTGGTTTTCAGATTCATCTGAACTTTTTAATCATTAGCACCGTGAGATCCGGATAATAAACATTATTACATAGATATCTGTATCCCGAATTCTTTCCTTAAGTGGTAATTAAAAGATTTGATCCTTTATTCTCGGCGTGCATGAAAATGTGTACATATCGTATATATTTTAAGCTTCTTGTTACGTTCTTATCACGCCAATTACATGTGTAGACGTTCTTTTTGCCAGTCTTGAACGCTTCGATTGTGGTAAAACGAAATTTAAGGTGAAATCTGACCAACTGAAAAATAATACTAAGTCGGGCAAATCATTTTGCATGTTATTGCGTCTACTTTTAAAGGAAACAATAATTATTATGAAGTCCTAAATAGGCATTGGCGGCATTTCACCTTTTGTGGTGCTTACATTCCGCGCTAATATTGCGGTCGAATTTTTAAGGTTTATTCTTATTTATTTGTTTTCGAGGGGGCTGTGAGAATAATTTGTTATAATTAAAACTCGCGTGAAGGAAAATGTTATCGGTAGTAATAATAATGATATTATATATAAAAAAATCAGTGACACAATTTAATATTTTCCTGCATTTCAATTATTTTGTGACATTTTATTTTGGAATTCTTCTCATTTTTTGCTAGTAATAATTGAAAATGAATGCTGTATGACTCTTTAAAGAGACTTGTGGTTATTAAACTTATGTCCCTTTGACTGAAGTCAATGTATTTTTACATAATCTTTAGTTGCTCTGTAGGTCTGTAATGGTCATTTTTATGCTCTGTTTATGCATAACGTCTCAGCTTTTCAGTAGTCAATAATATTGCTTTGTTTATTGGCAAAGACTTACCTAGATGACAGCCGCTTTGCGCTGAGCTAGCTTACATTAAAAGCGTAAGTTCTGCAGCGGGAAGAAATAGAAAAAAAAAGAAAGAAAGAAAGAAAGTTCATATACGAAACAGCAGGAGTGTACGGGATAAGTTTGCGTTGTCTCGGTTAATTCTCGAGTATCTGTTACCTTGGAAATTCGTTCTTGCAAGAAAGAAGTAATGTTCCGCTTGATTTCTTTCTTCCAGGGGCAGAGGAGAAGTTCACTTTATTGCCTTCTAGCGGGAAGTGAAGATGACGAACCTGCGGAGTGGTCGGATTCAATGGCAACCCCACCACTGAAGATCGTATCACCATTAACAGCTGCGGATGCGGGTAGGCGAGTCTGCTTTGAAGTTTTAATGATCCCTGATATAAATTCAACGCGCCATTAACCGGAGACTAAACTTTGAAAAACATCAATAGCCAACAGTACGGAGACAATACTTCTATGAACAGTTACGCTTAGTTTGCTTATCTGTGATTTGCGAACCATTTGTTCATTATCATTGAAGTAATTCCCCAAAGAGCGAGCTTGGTTTTTCGCACGAACTGGTGAAGTAAGAATTTAACATTTTCTGTAGATCTCATCGACGGGTTATGTAGCAGACCTTTTTACCCCTGTTGTGATAATTACTTTCTTAGAGCTTTAGCATAACTTTAAAGTGAAATGGAGTATTTTGTTTCCTCGGGGAGTTCGCTTTCAACTGAGAGATCATAAATAATAAATAAGTTAGCGAAAAAAACGGGTGATGTAGCAACGTATTTTTTTTTTGTTATATGAGCGTTAAGAGGAAAACGAGAAAGACACATTTTTACCATCTATTAATTCTGAAAGGATATTAGCTTATCTTTTCCTTCTCTTGTCAGATTATTGACCAATCATTTATTAACTTGGGACTTGGCTTAATTTGTAAATGTTAAGGTTTCTTGCAAGAAAACCCCGAGGCGGGCTGTGTGCCATATATTATTCATGTTGTTTGGACGAAGCTTTTAGCGGCTTTCTAGAGCAGGGCGAAAAGCATATTTTATTTAGTTCTCTTTTTGAAATTACATGCCTAATGTTAATTTATGATAAGAAGCGCTAATTCTCATTTTTATTTTCACCGAAGATTGAGGATTCTCAACGGTTTACATAACGTTTTTGACCTAAAACTCACTGTTAGTTTTAGAAGGAGTCAGACCTTGACTGACTAACATCTCTACGAATTGAATAATATAATTGGGTTAAACACTTTTTTTTGTCCATTGGTCAGTGATTTAACCGGTTGATACCTCTCCATCTTTCCAACCTTTTGTCAGGATTTCCTCCCTTTGGCTCGTAACCAGATTCTCCACGTGTGCAAAAAAGTGGTATTGGAGAGAGTTAAACTTGAAAATTTCCCTATCTTCCCCTTCAATTGTCATCTGTCAAAATGTCATAGATGCAGTCATATGTCGTGTTTTGAAATCCTACCAAGACTTTTAAGTGATAACAACCTTGTGCAGCACTGAAACATCACCAACCAATAACTGCTTCTCAACCATCAGCTTTAATTTATTTTAATGGATAAATTATAAATTCTATCCATTCTGACACAGCCATTAGTAAATAGGCCAGAAATTCAGAGGCACCAAGCTGCAAATAACAATCGGTCATCGCGGACATGTTCACTAAAATTCGGTTGGCCAATGATGAAATCATGACTGAGGTTAGTCGTGGTCGGACATTAAGTCTGAACAGAATTAATACCAATAACTATTACCTTGCCGCAGACGTGCAAACTCTGCCTGGAGATACTAAGGAAATAATATTAAAGAAGTGAATGTACAGCTGCAATCAGTAATCACCCTCCAATCACGCATGTCTCATGCCCATTTTTTCGTTAAAGACGCGTAATGCGTCCTTGTTCGAGCCCGACCGCATTTTTTGTCCGAACAAAAAAGCATCGCTTAGTCGGACATATATCCTTTGAAGAAAGAAAAAATAAATATATTTGCAGAATTGGAACTTTATTTAGACGCTTTTGGCTGGACTTATTGCGTAATTAGTGTAATCTTTTATATGGAATTAACCTACAATGTAAGAAATCGCTTCTTTAGGTATAATTGCCTCTCTTCATTTGAAATAATAGCTAACAAGCATTTTCCGCCCGGTTCAGATACCATACTTCACATGAGCCGAATCGAATTCAAATTTTGGCCCCTTCAAATTAATTTATCCTGCTGAATTGATTAAGTGGCCGACATTTATACAAGCCGAACTAAACTGAAAAAGAGAAAAAACGAAAGGCGCATTTCAGTAAACTACATTAAAAATTTGCTGCATTTGGTTCTGTTCAGTCATTTGATGTTCAGCGTCTGAATCAACGCTGGTCAACAGCCGTTTTTACCAGCTGAGCCAGCCGTGAAGAACGACTGAGCCGATGCAAATTCTATTAGCCGTTTCCGAATCGATTCAGATGCTGTACTTCTCGTGATCGTAATTCATTGAATTCGATTAGGCTCATGTGATTATTAAATCCCCTTCTGCATCGATGTTCTGAAATACGATCGCTTGCGTGAACGCTCTCCCAACAGTGGCAACAAGCATGATCCAGTAGAATCTTTAACAGGAGGCTCGAACCTTAACCTTTCATAGCACAAATAAGGGCACAAGAGAGCACCGTACCATTCAAACAATATTGACATTCGAAGTTTAGTTTAGAGTACGATTTTCTCTCAGTCTCTTCGATTAGAGAAAGTTCGAAGAGTGAGTAGATTACACAATATTATGAACGATGCCGAGAATTTGCCAGAAACGCAGCTCGTGTCCTCGTGAGAGGTGATTTCCTGCACGTTTCCGTGTATTTCACTTATTTTCGCTTGTTAGAGACAAGGAAAAGAAAAAAAAACTCGTCTGCCAGATATTTGGCTCTTAGTGTTAATACGTAAGCTTACTGTCTTTTTAAAGGTTTTCCTTTCATGCATTTGGGGAGGATTGGGTTCAAGATTAGGCCCGAATTGACTATCATCAAAAATCTCCTCCGATATTCAATAGAGATTCCCAAATGGTCGATGAACTGTAGCAAAAAGTCCGTTAATTTATAAAGTGCAGTTTGTTTTCATTAGCGGGTTCTGCTCTTGCAGTTGATGACAATAAAAGTGCTTAACGATTGTGCCGTTGGCGTTGTTAAATTCTATATTAGGAACATGTTTGTCGACCATACATGTACCTTTGAGATATTTTACGCGGCACGTATTTAATTTAGTTGTCTCTGTTGAAAACGTTTTGAACTGAGCACTGTTTTTTAAAAATTTATTATATTTCCGGCGCGTTCTGTCCAATTACTCAAGCATTCAGTCATTACCTTTTATTTCCTTTCTTTTCCCCTTTTCCCGAAGATGATGTTGTGTCTAGGGTTAAAGAGTAATTGCGTTTCAATTTTCCATTTATCAAATCTTTTTGGCATCTAAGTTTAATTATTTCAACTCGTACCTCTCTGCTTGTGATTGACATGAGCTTAATTTGGACTAAGATTAAAAATCGCCTCGCACATTTCAAAGGTACATTCAATCTTTTTTCGCTCACAGTTTTAAAGAAGCTGTGTCACGAATATAATCATAATCTAAACAGTGGAAACTGCCACCAAATTGAGCGAAACATTAAAATAACCGCTCCAAACGTTAAAAGAAGGTATGAATAACATAGGAAATAAGAAAGGAGGGGCAAACTGATGGACAAACTTGTAGAAGAAAATTGAAAAGGACTGCAATTGTGGTTTTTGAAAACTTGCTTGCCAAACAGTTTTTCCGGCAAAGTTCATTTCTGCCGTTTGTAATGACTGAAATAATGTTTGGGAAACATATCTGCTTGACACAAAGTTGTATTTTGTTATTCACAAGTGATTTCTGAAGTTTCAAAGTGAATAAGGACGTGAAGTTGGTATTTTAAGCAAAATGAACAAGCCATCCGTGACATCGCCCCTTTAACCCTGTGCAGCAAGCTTGCAAAATGACACCTATAAATGGTACGGGATGTTTTATGTCCCGAAAACCCACACTCCACGATTATGGTGTTTTCATTTATAGGAGAAAGAAAAAACTTGCAAAATGCACAACCTCATCACGCCCTTTTACTTGCACTTGTAGAGGAACCCGATGGTCAAAAAAATGCTGATGAAGAAACAACCACACAGGAAGGGCAACCCACGTCAAAGGTGAGCTGAAACATATTTTTCTTATGTTGGAATTCTTTCCCATGTAAGATCTCTCGATCATTTTATGTTAGACGTGGAGGAAGAAAAAAAATACCAGTAACTGTCTTATTACAGCTCCAACTGTCTCATTACTTTGGCATGACTCATACTGTCCTATCATTCTCTCGTATTAATGTTGATATCAGATGCCGATAACCAATCAGATATCACACGAGAATGCATTTTGCCCTTTATGTTTGAAGGAAGAAAAATAGCTTCGCTCTTTATGTTTGAAGGAAAAAAATAACTTCTTTTTATTAGGCAGAAGTTATATAGAGACCAAGGCCTGCAGACAGCCCATCTCACTCTACATGTACCTTAAGTACAGAATTCCATCTGGCAATTTGACAAACCATTAAAATTCCAATATTCTTTTGTAAGTTTGTTCGAGCGGAAAGGGCGGTTTTAAAACTCAAGCCTACCCAAGGGTTGTAATTTTTGCTGAAGAAATCACATGACTGCTCTGAAACTCCAGGGTAAACTGTTTTGTTAAGAATACTTAGAGGCGTTAAAATCGAGGTTTTCGAAACCTCGATTGTACAGTACATTAGGTACTGCATATGCACATATGCCTTTATATGTAAATATTAACGGAGTTGATATTTACATATAAAGAAACACCATCTGCACACAGTCATAGCTGTGGCCTGGAATAAATAGCGGTCATAAATAAAAGAGAGAAAAAAGTGAAACTCAGAATGAAATAGAATGGATATTTCTTTTTGCAGTGTATTGCCCGAGCTCTTTTCTCTAGTATCAGCATAAATCAATCAGTAGAACCACTGGAGACGTCCTTAGATGCCACCGTTAAAGACAACCAGTCGTTAAATCCTCACGATGCAGCGGGTAACTTTTTTGGTACGGTTCAAAAAGAAAAGGTAGCGAATGACTCATCTACAATTCAGGAATACTTGCTTGAGTATTCAAGTCGAGACGAGTCAACTTACCTGGACCCTGAAATCTCTCAAAACCTTGCTGACAAGTCTTTGGTGGCTTCACCACTCGTGAAAAAACGTTGTCGGTCTGACACAGACTTTGATGCTGGATCACCTGTTAATCAACGCCCATTACAATCGCCATGTTCAAAAGGCCTTCTCTCACCCTCCACACGGGCTGCCCTTTCGATTCTCGCCCAATCCACACCCAAACCCAGCATTTCAAACACTACCAGATCTGATGCTATGAATGATGACTTGAATCTGCCACGTGACACGCACCTGTTAGCTGAGTCGTCCAGCCTGTCCTGTCTGAAGGAGCAAGTCCAGGATGAGTGTGATGTCACTTCTCGGTCAGCAGAGGCACGCTGCAGTCTTGACACCTCAGATTTATCTTTTGGATCCCCGTCAAGGTCTTTTGAAGCAGCTATGGCTCGTGAGACAGACAAGATTTGTGGTGGAGAGGAGAGAAATTCGCGATCTTCTGGACGAGGTAAAAAGGCTTCTATCAGTGCGTTTAGAATGGCGAACACTTAACATTAAATAATAGGTAATAATTAACTGAATAATAGTAAAAAAAAAAACAAAAAAAAAACAAAAACTGCAGTCGAATTTATCATTCATATTCTGAAGGGAAAACGTAATGTAAACCTTCGTATACGTCAGTAAGTTACATTGAAGTTTTGACATATTAGGACACCTCAAAGTTCGAGCTGTTCCATGCCAAACAGAGAAGCGTGGAGGCCGTGACCTTACTTGCCAGCTGGGTCCTTCATGGAAACAAAAATGAGATATACGTTCGGCCGTTCCACTCCATTTATCTCTCACAACGTAGCTCTGACTTCAGTTTGTATTGTCTTCTCAGGGTCCTCACTGTCGCCAATCACGAACAACCATTCGTTTCATACTGACGTTGCCTTTAACAAGACTGCAAGAGATGAACTTACAGAACACCCTGAAAGCCGACCAATTGCCACAGGAAGCCGCTCAGCAAAACTAAGGAGTGAAACTAATGATTTTGCAGCGGGAACAGTAATGGACCAAGGGATTGAAGCTAAAGGATGTACAATTGAACACGTCAGTGAAGCCTTGTCTAGAAACCGAATCAATCCGACTGCTGAGACCGCCACGCCTCGATCATCCGCAAATGATTCCTGTAAACGTTTCAGAAGTTCTTCGTGCATAGCTTCTGGGTTAAGGCGATCCAGCAGACCAAAACGGTTCTTGTACCCAACTTCAAGCCACGTAACGAAATCAGACGAAGGGGAGCGTTCCAGGGAAACTACCGTAGCTGTTGACAGCTTGTCATCTCCGAGAAAAGATAAGGCAACTACAATAGAGAAACCCTTTCAGGAAAGAGTCAACGATGGAACAGAGGTTCGAACAATTTGTTGCAACGGTGCTACCGGTGAAAAACCAGTAACGAAAAAACTTAAAGTTGACGAGATTTGCGAGCCTGACAGATATACCGCCGTTGTGCCTTCTGTCAATGACGCTGGTAAAGACAGTGATAAAGAGACAGAATCGACCATGAGTGAAGCAAAGACATCGTTAACATTTGAGGTTTATGAACGTAATGGAACAAGTAAAACCGATGATGTTCTTTTCGATATGGACTCACTGAGCCAGTTTCCAGTAGAAACTCTATTGTCACCTCCTCATGCAAATTGTGCTAAAGATGGCTTGAATATCTGGAGTTGCTCATCCCCTAAGCCTGAAATGAATGTTACCTATACGATTGAAAGCACGGAGAGAAGTTCTAGTATTGGAAAGAGGGATCTAAGTTTTCATAGTAGTGAAAGAGACAAATGCGTCTCAGACTCTCTGAACGAATTTACTCAAGCGAAGGCAGGGGGAATGGCGGCTGTAAACAGAGAAAGCGAAAGAGAACATTCAGTCACCATATTACGCGAGCAAACACCATTTGTAAACAATGAGCATTCTTGCTACCGAGGAAATGGACTCGTAGAATGTGAATTGCAGCAACTTGGAGCGGGCGAAGAAATCAGTTCTTTCATCAAGAAGCAAACGTCATCATCGGTACCTGCGGAGTTTCTTGGCTTTTCAACGGCTAGCGGTAAACAGGTTCATGTCTCTGAAGCCGCATTCAGAAAGGCGAGGAAAACATTACTAGAAATCGATACTGAGTTAAATCTAAACCGCAGTGTTCCAACTACAAAAGGGGTGGAACCTTGCGACGGCAGAGCTACAAACAAACAAAGGACCTCAGCGAGGGACGGTGATGGTACTCTCTTTGATTGCCAGAAATTGCCTTTTAAAGGGGCGGGAAATATTGTGGCGACCGCATCAACGATCACTTTGGATGGCATGAAGAAACGAAAGCGCGAGGAATTGCCATGTGTTGTCCTTTGCACTGCTTCAGCCAGTGCAAATGAAAACGATGACTTGCAAAACGTTGACGAGGTTAAAACTAAACAAACCGATGACTATAATGACTCGCTACTTGAGGATTTACTGAATGACTGCAAGCGAAAACGGCGAGATTCCTTAAAGACGATAACAGAAGAAAACGAAAGAATTAAAATGGTCGCTGAGGTAAAAAACCCTACTCCTGATTCCAACGGTCCACAATTTTTGAGAGGAAGCATTGGAGGTCATGACGGTTTTAACTCTCAATGCCTTAAGTCAACCCCTATATCAGAGGCAGTCGTATTTAACAGTACAACTTTAGTAACTGACAATAATCTGAGTAGCGAACGTCAAAGCTCAGGTGGGTTTCTTAATATTCCAATCACAGCCGTTAAAACTAAAAAGAATCCTTTATTTGCTGGTAAGTGCAAGAATGAGGACAACATTTGTGAAATGCGTTTGAAAGACTCGTCAGAGGAGCACTGTGATAAAGTGAGGGAGACGTCTTCATTGGTTTCAAACGTAGGTCGCTTTCATTCCGCTTGCGAAAATAATATTAATAATAATGGTATTCCTGCTCTCCAAACTGCCTCCGGAAAGAACTTACAGCTGTCTGAAGAAGCCTTAAATAAAGTAGCAAGTATAATGTATCAGGTTGACAGTTGTGATGAACGAAATGTTTGGAATGATGAGGAAAATGGAGACCCTTTATCATTAAAAAAAGCAACGTTTCCTACACGCCAAGAGTTATCAGAGCAGGGAAATGCGAAAAAGAAAGAAAGTACAATTAAATTTGGAGGTTTTCAAACAGCCTCTGGGGAGAAGTTAATGCTGTCAACGGAAGCACTGCAGAAAGGGGTTGAAATAATGCAACAGATAGACAAATCCTTCCAAACTCCCGAAAAGGAAGACAGTAAATTGTCGAGTGAGTCAATGAATAACAGAGCGAAGACAACGCAAGGTACTGAAACATGTCTTGAAGGAGGGAAAAGAAATAGTGCTTCATATCATCCCATTTCAACTGCTATGGATGATGAATTGTCTAAGGAAGAAAATGGCACAAGTATTTCTGGCTTTCAAACTGCAAGTGGAAAGAGGGTTACATTGTCAAACGAAGCCCTACAGAAGGCTGTATCGATTATGAAGCAGATAGAAAAATCTCCCACGAAAGGCAACTGTGCCCCTTATTCAAAGCGTACCGGTGGTTTTTCGGGCTTCCAGACCGCCAGTGGTATCAGCGTTAAGATGTCAAGAGAAGCGATGGAAAAAGGGGCGATGATTATGCAGGAGATTGCAAAATCTTTTGATGAAAGTAAGTTCCATACAACATCTTGTCAAAGTGGTAAAACAAGTTTTGCTGGCTTTCAAACGGCAAGTGGGCAAAAAGTTACATTTTCTAAAGAAGCACTTGAGAAAAGCACAGTAATAATGCAGCAGACTGACAGATCTCTTGCAGAGAGCAAGGACGATAACGCATCTTGGCAAAGAAGTAAAACAGGTTTTTCTGGCTTTCAAACGGCAAGTGGGCAAAAAGTTACATTTTCGGAAGAAGCACTTAAGAAAGGCACAGCAATAATACAGCAGATTGACAGATCTCTTGCAGAAAGCAAGGAGAATACCGCATATTGGCAAAGCAGTAATACAGGCTTCTCTGGCTTTCAAACGGCAAGTGGGCAGAAAGTTACATTGTCGGAAGAAGCTCTTGAGAAAGGTACAGCAATAATACAGCAGACTGACAAATCCCCTGAAGAAGGCAAGGCCAATATCGCATCTTGTCAAAGGAGTAAAACAGGTTTCTCTGGCTTTCAAACGGCAAGTGGACAAAAAGTTACATTCTCGGAAGAAGCACTTGAGAAAGGGACAGCAATAATACAGCAGATTGACGTATCCCTTGAAGAAAGCAAGGCCCATACCGCGTCTTGTCAAAGGAGTAAACCAAGTTTCTCTGGCTTTCAAACGGCAAGTGGGCAGAAAGTGACATTGTCGGAAGAAGCTCTTGAGAAAGGTACAGCAATAATACAGCAGATTGACAAATCTCTTAAAGAAAGCAAGGCCAATATCGCATCTTGTCAAAGGAGTAAAACAGGTTTCTCTGGCTTTCAAACGGCAAGTGGACAAAAAGTTACATTCTCGGAAGAAGCACTTGAGAAAGGGACAGCAATAATACAGCAGATTGACGTATCCCTTGAAGAAAGCAAGGCCCATACCGCGTCTTGTCAAAGGAGTAAACCAAGTTTCTCTGGCTTTCAAACGGCAAGTGGGCAAAAAGTTACATTTTCTAAAGAATTACTTGAGAAAGGTACAGCAATAATACAGCAGATTGACAAATCTCTTGAAGAAAGCAAGGCCAATCCCACATCTTGTCAAAGGAGTAAAACATGTTTCTCTGGCTTTCAAACGGCAAGTGGACAAAAAGTTACATTCTCGGAAGAAGCACTTGAGAAAGGGACAGCAATAATGCAGCAAATTGACAAATGTCTTGAAGAAAGCAAGGTCAATACCGCATCTTGTCAAAGGAGTAAAACAGTTTTCTCTGGCTTTCAAACGGCAAGCGGACGGAGTTTTGAACTTTCTAAAGAAGCACTTGATAAAGGTACGGTAATAATGAAGCAGATTGACAAATCTCTTGAATGGAGTACTAAAAGCAGCGCTGTATCTTCACTACTGAGTAGAAGCGGTTTTATTTCTGAGTTTCAACCTGAAAGTAAACTGAGCGCTGAAAAGTCTGGCGAAACTTTGGAGAAGGCAGCGAAGTTAGTGAATCTAACTGACAAAACATTTGGAGAGAAAGTTGACAAAGGTCACCCTTGCACGACTAGTCGGTCTACTTTCTCTGGCTTTCAAACTGCGGCTGGTAAATCGGTACAAATCTCTGATTCGGCGCTCGCTAAGGCGAGAGAAACAATGGCTAGTATCGACAGTCATAATTGTTCAGTGTCTTCGAATTTAGGAAATCCTCCATTTCACACAGAACCCAAACGAAATAGTACAGCCCCTGCTGTTTCTTTTGAGGTGAAAGGTGTTGTTATGCCTTTACCAGTAGAGAGTCACGTTTCTGAGCATGACCAGGTCGTGACGCGTGAGATGCTCGAAAGCTCCGAAGCTCTCCTTGCTGATGAATCATTTATGGATCTCTCGGAGTACCTTAATGAGAAGGAAGAGCGATCTGCTGCTGAGAGAAGTTCGTTTGACACGTCGGAAGCTGACGTTTCATTCGAGGAAAGAAGGACAGTTAAACGTCAATCAGGTAACCCTAACAGTAGCCAGCATAGAATATCTTGTAAGCCCATTTTGTAAACCGAAACGGCGTTTTGTTCCTCACCTCGGCACTTACCAAAGCATTATATCCTGAACCCGTAGAAAGTGGTCATTACAATGCGAAAAGCTTGAAGGATCCTCTTTAGCTCTCTTATATTCTGACAAATTATTTATATGGTATCAGACGTGCTACTATAGTGCTATAATAGCAATTTAGATTGCAGCGCGCAGTAAACGTAAGAGTTTAGACAAAAACAGCTTGAAAGTAAGCTGTCAAGCATAAAATTGAAATCATTGAGATACCGCAGGTGTGAAGAAGAACTCCACTCGAAGTCTCAAGGCAATATGTTTTGCATTTTTCTTTGTATCCAGGAGTCGTGTTTGGTTCAAATCATAACCTAACGAGGCGTCACTCATCTCCAGTAAGTAACTGTCTGTCTGTAAGTTTTGAATCATTCGAAACAAAAAAGCAGAAAGCAAATACCCGTTTTAAAGTTTGAAACAGGTATTTGTTTTCTTTGTTTGTTTGTTTTTTTTGCAATTTACTTATTAATAACAATAGTTCCACCACTAGGTACACAGAACTTCCGGACCGTCAAAAAAATTGAGACTGTTTGGTAATCCTTTTACTTTACGTCTCTTGAATCTCAAGGTGATTTATTAACACTAGATGTACGTGAAAAAATTGGCAGGCGCGGTGTGAACAATATGATCGTCTCAATTTTTTTACAGCACATTTGTGGTTGCATGGATTCGTAGTACCTCCTCAGCTGAAAAATGCCGGTTTGGACTGGCCAAAATTAATAAAGTTCTGCCCAAGGGCAGATGGTAAACTACTAAGAAAAGTTAAAATTCAACCTGGTTTGTCCGTTCCGTGTGAACAGAGCGACCATATTAAGCGGTTCCATGTGAACGAAGTGCCCTATGAAATTATTCAGCTGATCGAAAATTCGTCCGGTGCCGCAGTGTGGTAGTACAGGGTTGGCACGCACCTTGAAAATCCTTGAAAGTCCTTGGTTTTTAAGATAAAAGTTCAAGGCCTTGAAAATTGCAGTCGGCGCTGGAAAGTCCTTGAATTTCAATGCTTATACCACTACATGAGAAATTTTTGCAATTTGATTGGCTTAGAGCAGTGGTATTTCAGCTTAATTTGCATGAAAGGCCTACATGTGAAATTTACAAACCTTTTGCGGGTAGTGGTATAAACAGATAATAGGACGATTTGTAGGTGATATTTGGCAAAAATACCACTCGTGATATTACAAAATTGTCTCAAATTTCACTCGCCTGATGGCTCGTGAAATTAAGTATAACAATTTCGAAGTATTACTCGTGGTATTCGTGCAAAAGATCACTACAAATCATGCTATTACTATGCTAACTTAATAGTTTAAAGAGAAGTCCAAACGAAAAGGAGCAAACACAGAAGGACTTTCGAAATAAAATTCCTCATGTTGTGGAAGAACTAAAAAGGACGTAGACTCTAGCCTTTTTTGCACTGAAATGAGTCCTTGAAAAATGTGAAATGTGTCCTTTAAAGTCCAAAAAATTCCTTGAAGTATTTGTTCAAAAAGAGTGTAAGAACCCAGAACGTAGGCTCAGTCACACTAGAACAACTTGTCAGTAGTATCACATGACTTGTTTGCCTAAAAAGTTGATTTTTCCTATTTTAATACGGCATTACTAATCTTCCGTTATCGACTGAGTTTCTAAAGCAAATTGCCTATCCAGCATAAGAGATCCAAAGCTGACGTTTTATGCCCCAGCCTTTCGTCTACGGCATCTCTTCGGGCTCGCTTTGTAGAGGGGCAAGCCAAATGTCAGCTTTTGACTTTTATGTTAACGGTTTATCAACTCACTATTAACCCCAATTTTTATATTCCACCCCCTCCACCTCCCCCCCCCAACCCCAAACCAACTACTGACAGCAAATTTCTTTAAAAACTGGCCCTTGTTATGGTAATAGTGCGTAGTCATTTTGTAGTGAAATTTCAGTTGCAGTGTACCGAAGGCATGTTCAGTTCACGAAATGGAATGAAACCTCGCACAACTACTCCGTCAGGTTAGTTTCAAAACGTACTTAAACGATATTTGGGAAACTCGCTTTCAAATGGAAAGCTGCCTTAAAGTAAGAGACTGACTCATAACAGTAAATTGTAGTGGAACCACGGAGTGGAACAGCATAGAGTATGCAGTTTGTAATGTGTAACTGGTTTGGCATTGCTATGGTTCTTTTCAGGTGTTTTACACGATCGAAGGACAAGATCATTTAACACCCCCCTGCGGGCTCGGCTTGCCAGGGTCGATAACGTACAGAGTACGAGTACTCAAAGGTATTTCTCTGCTTTTATTACTACTCTTACTCCTAGTAGGGCCAAAGAAAAGCTCACAAAATCGTAAAATTTTCCTTCTAAAATTAGAAGAAATAAATATTACCATGCAAAAGTTCTGCCTAAGAGGTTTTTAATTGAATGGTAACACTATGGGATTTCGTTTACCTATGTAAAAGCTTTAGTGATAAATAATCTTGTTATTACGTAGTCCAGGATTGAATAGGTTAATAAGATCATGGTATTCCATCATCACTAGGGATTTGCGAAGGTTTATTAACTAAGTAAGGGTAATTTTTTTTTACTTCTTCATAGAATAAACAAGTTTACAGAAAACTGAAGAAATAAAAAGAAAAAAGGGCAAAAATAGTGAAACTAATATCTTGCCCTAATAGTTGGAAAAATAAATGGATTCTTAATTAACTGGATAAAGTGGTTCCACGGAGCTAAAAGCGCGCGGCCATCTTTGCTTCCCGCTGACCCGCATATATAAGAAAGTGTAAATGATCTTGTTAAGCCCTTAACCTCATCAACAATAGATGAGGTTGGGTGTAGATGCTCTATAAGATGGTGATGCCATGCGCAAAAGAGGTAAACCCAATGTATCTAAGGCAACCAGTGAGCGGCAACCACAGTGACCAACTAGATCAGTGGAAATAAAACACAGTACTCACTTACCGGGAAGGGAGGGAGGGACAGGGAAGAAATCAGCACAACAGAGCTTAGACGCAAAACACTCTTAGTTGTGCAATGAAGACCAGCAATTTGATCGCTGTAAAGTCATCAAGTTCTTCAATTTCCGTGGGGTTTCCCCGCGGAACGTGAGCCGTTACAAAAGTACCCGCTGGCCAGCATTGTTTCGAGTTTAGCTTCTCATAAATTGCATTTAGCCATGAAAAAAGTATGAACAGACTGTTAGTGAACGCGGTATGGAGTATTTTAAAGACCTTTGTCAGGAACTAACTTTAGCATTTTGTTGTGGAAAATTTAGGCGCCACATTGACACAGATTGTAACGGCTCCCCGAGGTCATCACAAGCTGTGATACCTAGCGGCTTGAAGCCCAAATCATTCAATGTTCCAAGAACAAGCACTCCGATAAATTCTCCAGCATGCCGCAGAATGCGTGGACCACGGCCGCCATTTGTTACGCCTTATCGAAAGCAGGTTGTCAGCAGGAACGTCTCCCCGCTGGTGCGTTGTACAGCTCCTGGACGTCCCATCCTCGAGCCATTGGAGAGCCCGGGAGCCGCAGACGTGGAGCCTTCTTGGAAAAAGCCAAAGATTTCATCCCCTAACACCACATGTAATTCGAAAAGTAGGGCAGAATTATCCGAGGTTGGTTTAGTTTTTACTTCGTGATTTGTGTCTAATTACCATTAAGCTTACAGCAAGGTTTCGTTCACACGGCAGCGGACGAATTTTCGACCGGCTGAAAATTCATGCGGTTAGGTGGTCCGTTTACCCAGAACCACAGGAACTGTACCAAAATTAAGACGCCTAGCTGTTCAAAGTTCCTTTAAACACAGTCAGTTAGTTAGTATGGTCAAGTGCTAGTTCGGAGATGGATTGTCCCTTGCCAGTCCCTTTGGTCTAGCGCTGTCGTTCCGGGTTCTCCGATAGTGGCGAACCCGGTGTCCTCAAGCAGAGTGTGTACGTATGTGGTCCTGGGACTTCCTCTCTTACTTTGTCCGTGTTGTGGCTGTCACAACAGAAGCTTCGATGCCTCCTCTTTTTTGTCTAACACGATGCCAAGCTACTCCCTCTAGAAACTTTTGGGAGTTTACCGTACAGATCTTTATTAATTTTGTGAAGTGGTCCCTCCAAGAAACGTTTGGTGCTGTGCAAAGCATTCTACTGTAGGCACCAACAATTTGCTTTTCAGTGCTTCTTCTTAGAGTCCATGTTTCGCTGCCGTAAAGGAAAACACTTTCTACTGTTGCCAGGGATAGTCTAACCTTTTAACAGAGCGAAAATATTGAATGGTTCAGTGGTTAAAAGTGTGTGATCAAATTTTTCAGCCGGTCGAAAATTTGTTCGGTGTCGTGTTAAACTCCCTTTTGCTTCGATATCTAAGACAAAGCCTAAGTCAGATCTTAACTTGATTTCCTCTCAAGTTTGTCGCTACAATCGATAGAGACATCTCTGAATACAATTTCCTGGAAAATTTATATTAGTTACCCTTTTTTCTCTTAGTTGCCATGACCCACCCTAGCTGTAGTAACATAAAGTAATAAGCTAAAGCCTTACCTACCTGATCAC